GGTTCCATCAACGTCAAGAAGACAAGTAACACCTTTGTATCACCGCCTCCAACCTTCCCTCCCTCCTTCCCTCCTTCCCTCTCTCCTCCATCCCTTTTTCATCTCTCTCTGTCTCTCTTTTCTCCCTCCTTTCTTCCCTCCTCTACCTCAGTTTGTCCTCTCTCTCTCTCTCTCTCTCTCCTCCTCTGTTCCGATGTTTCTCCGCCTTTATCACTGTTCCCTTAGTCTCGTGGGTCCGTCTGGTTCGAAACATCTTGAAACGTTTCAGATAAGTGATTCGGAACTTCGAATTTAATCAATCTAATTCCTTTTTCTCTCAGTCAATTTTAATCGTAATTTATTGTGTTTTTATTTGCATTTTTTATTATTTACTGTTTTTATTAAATTATTTAGTTTTTGTATTTATTCAGGATTTAGTTGTAGTTAATATTGTATTTTTTTATTCAATGGGGTTCGGATTAGTTCGAACTGTTTGGTGATGTTTCAGAATAGTGCCTTTTGAGTTGTTGGTGCTGTGGTGGTGGTGGTGGTGATGGTGGTGATGATAGTGGTGTTGATGGTGCTGATGGTGATGGTGGTGATGGTGGTGATGATGGTGGTGATGGTTGGTGATGGTAGTGGTGTTGATGGTGGTGATGGTGATGGTGGTGATGGTGATAGTGATGGTGGTGGTGGTGGTGATGGTGGTGATGGTGGTGATGATGGTGGTGATGGTGATAGTGATGGTGGTGGTGGTGGTGATGATGGTGGTGATGGTGGTGATGATGGTGGTGATGGTGGTGGATGATGATGGTGATGATGGTGGTGATGGTGATAGTGATGGTGGTGGTGGTGGTGGTGATGGTGGATGGTGGTGATAGTGGTGGGTGATGGTGATGGTGAGGTGGTGATAGTGGTGATGGTGGTGATGGTGGTGATGATGGTAGGTGGAGGTGGTGATAGTGGTGAGGTAGATAGTGGTGGTGATGGTGATGGTGGAGGTGGTGATAGTGGTGGTGATAAACAGATCATTATTTATATGTTACGTGATATGAATGGAAATTGATGTGCTTGACGGTTTACATACAAAGCCCGGAAACACACACACACACGCACACACACACACGCAGCACACACACGCACGCACACACACGCACGCACACACACACACACACACACACACACACACACACACACACACACACACGCACACACACACACACGCACGCACACACAAACACACACACACACGCACGCACACACACACACACACACACACACACACACACACACACACACACACACACACACACACACACACACACACACACACACACACACACACACACACACACACACACACACACACACACACACACGCACACACACACACACACACACACACACACACACACACACACACACACACAGCCACCAACCCATACTCACGCACTCTGCCGCTAGGATGGTGCGTGTGTTGATGGAATGTGGAGGTCATGAGGGAAGACAGTGTGACAGCCCCCAGCGTGACAGCCCCAGTGTGACAGCCCCATTGACAGCCCCCAGTATAACAGCCCTTGTGACAGCCCCCCAGTGTGACAGCCCCCAGTGACAGCCCCCAGTGTAAACAGCCCCCCAGCCAGTAACAACGTAGAATGTGATAAGGAAGAGAACAAACAAAGTTCACACACACACACACACACACACACACACACACACACACACACCTCCCATGTATATAAAGTGAGTGTTTACCCTCTACCTTGACTCACAACAGCTCATAACCACTCACTATGTATACTAAGTAGTCTTATACATAGAAAACGTAAGAAGGTAATACATTCAAGGAGGGACTTTAGGAATTTAGTGTAAACATTAGAAGAAAATGAAATGTTTATACAGGAGCGTTTTTACACCAATTGGGAAGATGTTTATGGAGAATAAGATGGAGGAAGTACTGTGTGTGTGTGTGTGTGTGTGTGTGTGTGTGTGTGTGTGTGTGTGTGTGTTATCAGAGACGTAAGGGATCAGGTGAAATAGGTGTCATTCCCTTACCTTCAATTTATCAATCTGAACTGGTCACCTATTCCTCTCCTCCCCACCCACCCTCCCCATTTCTCTCTCCCTTTGTCATCCCCACCCGTCCTCCTCACCTGTCATGCTGTCACCGCCCTCACTTTCACCTGTCATCGCCTCTGTCATGCTGTCATCTCCTGCCGTCCCTCCTTTCCGTCAACTGTCAACGCTGTAGTAACTCTTGCGGTACTAATCACTGTCATCAATGTCCATTAGTCCTGTGTGTGTGTGTGTGTGTGTGTGTGTGTGTGTGTGTGTGTGTGTGTGTGTGTGTGTAGGTCCTAGACTCTCTCTCTCTCTCTCTCTCTCTCTCTCTCTCTCTCTCTCTCTCTTCAATTCGATGTTTAAGATGTTAATACTAGTATATAGGATGTGTTAGATGCTTATAAATGGCTTAAAATGTTTATCTATCGTTGTTTAAAGGCCATATTAGGGGTTGGTGTGAGAGGATGTTGAGGATGTGTCACTAGTAACCAGAGTGTTGCCTCCCCCAGGTGTGGTCAGCCTCTACACGACGCTGGTGAGACATCCGGGCGACCCAGCCAGCCAGTGACCCGCCTCAACTCGTCCCTCTCCTCTCACTCCCTTCAGTGCCTTGGTCAGGAGCCCTCCACACCTCCTTCATTGCCTTCCCCAGTGCCTTAGGTGTCCCTTCAAGAGCCCTAAAGTTCCTTGTTAGGGGTTTGTAAGTACCGAGAGCCCCCAAGATGGCCTGGTTAAGCACCGAGTTTTACTTCTACAAGGGCAGCGCCCCCTGTCGCGCCGTCTGGATGACCCTGAAGGTGTTGAAGGTGGACCACGAGGAGAAGATCGTCGACCTCCTGAAGGCGGAGAACAAGAGGCCGTGGTTCATCAGGGTGAGTCTCCTCTCCTCTTGAGTCTGTGTGGTAGTGTAGACCTGTGTTGATGGTGCCGTTTTGCATGCTGACTGGCACGACCTGTCTTTGTGAGTGGTCCATACAGTCTATACAGTCACCAGATACTCTGATTGATACAGGCTCTAACTCTGTGACTGGTGAGCTCTTATTTTACTCTCGGCATGTTTTTCATTAACTGGTCTTGTTCAGTCACCTACTCTCAGAATGTTACGTCCTTGCCTTCTGAATCGATCATACAGTCTATCACGTCCTAACCTAGTAACTGAACCAGACAGTCACCCCAAAAAGGTACAGACTGTCACCTAACTCTCTAACTGGACGAGATAATCACCCAAAAAGCACACAAATAGTCACATCCTAACCCACTAACTGGTCCAGACAGTCACCCCAAAGCAGAAACTGTCACCCCCCTAACTCAGTGCACTCAAGAACAGCACACCGTCACATTCTAACCCACTAACTGGTCCTGACAGTCACTCTTAAGAGCACATACAGTCACGCCCTGCACCCCCACTAACTGGACCAGTCAATTAATACCCCCACAACACAAAGTCCACATCAGCGAGTCACCGTACACCAACTTACTCCCAGATGTAAATAAACTCCGCTATAAAGTCAAGAACGAAAACATATTCACGAGCGACCAGAGGGATTGGACACTCTATATGCGGTGTCGACAGGCTCTCCCGCCCTCACCAAAGGCATTGAATCGTATATAATGTTTATAAACCCCACCAGACCCCGAGACGGATTAAATGTTTATTGTTGATCTTTACAAACACACTTGACTCACGCCCCTCCACCCCCCCCCCCTCACCCTATTGGTTCGTTCCCAAAGTATATAAATTATAGTTGATATAGTCTAGTTAATTTGTAATGTTTATAGGTAATACACGATATAATTTACAAACTATATAAAGAGGTTTTGTATTTGTAACTGTACTTGATCACCTTTGTCAATACCTATACTGTACCTGTATTCACACCTGTACTGTACCTGTACCTTCACCTGTACTGTACCTGTCAAAAGCACTAATTAAATCATGAGTTAGGAGATAAGGTGATATATGAGATGATAAGAATCCAGGTCATACTGTACTGAGATGACCTGTTGCTGAGTCACCTGCTGAGTCACCTGGCCTGACCTGACTCACAGTTAGGCTAGGGATGTGTATGTATGTATGTATGTATGTATGTATGTATGTATGTATGTATGTATGTATGTATGTTGCTTATTAAAACACTATGGCACAGAAGAAGGTATAGTGAGGTGCTTGTGTTTTGTTCTTAACACACACGTAAACACATTCCCGCACGCATATCCGGCCGCACGCATGCACAGTCACACACACACGGTAACATGCATCCAAAACAGCACACACACTCACAGTCGCCTTTATACACGAACGCACGCATACATGACCGGATGTACACACACACACACGCACACGAAACCTGTTGCAAAGGTGAGGGATGACGTCACTGAAGGTATGTGGACAGGTTAATTAATTATAGATTGATAATTGGATAATCCGACTTAACTCACGAACGCAAACAACTTGAGGATGAAGTGATAAATAACTATTATTAAACCAACAAATCCGAATTAAGAAGTTACATCTGAATAGAAGGGATAATCCGACTTCAATCTGACGAACCCAAACATCTGGTGGTGACTTCACGGACAGGGCGAGGCAAGAGACACGAACGCAAACATGGCTTCACTCAGCACTATGTTGGGTCTATGTGTGTGTGTGTGCTCCCCCCAGATACCCTTATACGTCCAGCTTAACGCTCCTCATACTTCGCATCCGTTTATGATTACGTAACAAAAAAAAGACGATTATTAAGCTGAGGATGATCTTATAAGGCGATAGTGAACAGCGGTGAGGAGACGAGGCCAGAAAAAAGATATTGGTATAGTTGGCGATAATAATAATAATAATAATAATAATAATAATAATAATAATAATAATAATAATAATAATAATAATAATAATAATACAAATTTTCTTATAATTTAATAACTAAAAACACAACAAGAAATATTAAATTATTTTATATTTTAGAAGTCAATAAATAATATTAACTGAGATATCTATTCGGAGCACCAACTCTTTATTCAGTTTAATTCTTTCTCCGTCAGTGAGTGAGTGAATGAGTCAGTAAGTAAATGAGCTAAAAGAAGAGGTGATGTAATGGCTTAAAATAGCATGCATGAATGGTGAGGGCAGTGAACACGTAACGAAAGTATTTGTGGTTCTGGGAAAAAGTTGAATCAGAGAGAACGGGGAGGGGTAACTCAGCTAATCCTTCCCCTGCTCGCGTCATGTGTCTGAGGTCGTCACTGACTCGTCAAATGGGCCCTCACCTCCTCCTGCCCCCCCCCCCTCCTAGGTCTGCTGACGGCCCATTGAGGAACTGATTAATGTAGTTGTTAATCTAATCTTAGTTAATTTTAAACACGATGATTAGGCCCTAGTGTTGGTGTTGGGGTCTATCGGAACTGGGGGCCTATTTAGACTATTGGACTCATTTAGAGGGACCTATGTGTGAGTGTATGAGTGTAAAGCGACTCTCGTAGGAAGTGTTTGTACAGGACACACTCGCCCCTTTTGTCGCGGGTAAATAATGGTGACGTCAGGGTATCAACATGGTGGAGACGAACCCCGTTGAAAAGACATCTTGAAATAACCTTTTAAATAATCACGTTATAAGATAATTACCCTAACCATTAATTACGGTGGCCAATAATTACCTAGATCAATAATTACCTTAGACGATAATTACTTTAGATAGAAATTTCGTCAAGATTTAGATAGGGATAAAACTTTTCTTAAACAAATTTCTTTTAAAAGTCTCCGAAGTGAAAAATCAGACTCGGGAGTACGAGGTCATTAACCCTTGAGTACCCAATGGATGTACTCAAGGTCTTCGTACTCAAGGGGTTTTAAAAAGAAGAGGGTGGGAGGGACAGTGTGTGTGTGTGTGTGTGTGTGGGGCCAGTCATTGTGTTGCCCCCAATGTATAATGGTGCACACGAAGGTAAACACAGATCGTCTTAGTGTTATTTGTTCAATATGTTTGACCGTCTCAAGAGGTCCTCGCCTTCTTCTTCCCCCCCTCTCTCTCTCACTCTCCCTGCCTCCAATACCTCCCTCTCTCCCTCCCTCCTTCCCTGCCTGCTGCTGACCGGTTCACCACTCTCCAACCTGTCTCCTCCTTTCAGTTTTCGACCTTCTCCTTCTCTCAACCTCCGCCCTACCTCCACCCCTCCGCCCTACCTCCACCCCATCCCCGTCGCACCTCCGTCCTATTTACTGTAGATCTACCTCCTTCACCCTCCGCCCCACCTCCTCCAATCTCCATCCCACTATCATCCCACCTCGTCCCACCTCTGTCCCACCTCCGTCCCACCTCCGTCCCACCTCGTCCCACCTCCGTCCCACCTCCGTCCCACCTCCACCCCTGCTGTCAGTCTGAGCCAAATTCCAGCTTGTCTTGGGAGGGTTAAGTAGACAGATCTTATATAAAGGGGAGGTCTTGGCAGCAACTTGTAGATGGTGGGGACTACGTGCAGCCCTCTAGGAACTGCTCGTAGCTTCCTGGGGACTATATATACTGTACACCCCTTGGGACTTCTAGATGCTGTTATTCTCTTAGCACTGACGAGGACTTGCTGGTAGACCCTTGGGAACAACTCGTGGATCTCTGGGAACTGATCCTAGATTTCCTAAGACTGTTCTTAGTGCCTTGGGAAGCTCATAGGACCTTGATAACTTTTGGTAGACCCCTGGGGACTGTTCTTAACCCCCCCGGACGTAGGACTCCGTGGGGCTGGGCTGGGCTGGTCAGTACCGTCGCTTACTCGTCTTAATGTCGCCTTTTACGTGCGTTAAGCCTAATTTGCCCGGAAGGTCCCTAGGCGCCGCGGCAATGCTCAACCTCTAGTCGTCATTTAACATGCAAATGAGGCGCGGCAACCTGAACCCCTGAACACGGACTCTTTAACACTCTTACGGTAGATATTGCCACCAGATATATTATCTTATCCTCTGTTAAGGGCAAACAAAATGATGGATCACTTGAAGATTAGACACCCCAGCTTGTATCCTGTAGTCTAACCTAAACCTAACCTAACCTAACCTAACCTAACCTAACCTAGACACCTTAGCTAATATCCTGAAGATTAACCTAACCTAACCTAACCTAACCCTGCAGTTAACGTTAAGGTGGTTCATCATCAGGGGAACTTGCAAAACCCCAAGTCTGGTCTTTGCGGGGTGCCCTCTTGTTTGCTTCTCCCTCCCTCTCTCCCCCCTCCCTCCCCCCTAACATCTCCGCCTCCTCCCCTCCTCCTCCTCCTCCCTCCCTCCTCCTCCCTCCCTCCTCCTCCCTACCCTAGTCTGCCCTAAAGCTACCCTGATTTATTGTCTCCTGGTAGGCATGACCCTTTACCTTCCCTTACCTCCCTACCACCCTACCCTCCCGACCCTCCCTACCTCCTTCTCTGCGCCTTCCCTCCCTACATTCTTCCTTGTCTCTTATTCTTTTCTTTTCCTTCCTAACTCTTGCCCTTCCTATCTTCCTCCCTCTTCCCTCCATCTCTTCCTCCCTCTCGTTTCCTATTCTCCCTTCCATTTTCCTCATCTCCCTCACTCCCCCTCCCTCCCTCCCTCCCTCCCTCTCTCTCATCATCCTCACCTCAGGGTTCCATAGCTCCTCACAGACTCAGCCTCCTACATATGCTTTGTCCAGGGCCTTGCTAACTTATACCGTGATATCTATGCTCAGTACGTGGCCCAGGTCGTGTTGCTTTACAGGTATGTTGGCCACGTGACCCAGATGCATGGAAACGGGGCTGTTATGCTTGTTACGGGGCCTGAGAACCAAACATCATGACATCGGGGTCCAGGGGTAATTAAAGGAAGTGTTTAAGCTTGCTACAGGGCCTTGTAATAGAGTAAAACGTGACAGAAAATGCTTGCAACAGGGCCAAGTAAGCTGTAGCTGGAATGCTTGATACGTGGCCTAGATAAAGGTGACATGAGAGATTATGCTTGTTGTGTGGCCCAGGTAGCGACTTGTTTTTTATTTATCAAAACTTGAAAAACGATACATAAAATTGTTTGATTTTTAAAGAATAACATTAGAGATGAAATTGACGACATGAATCTTATTAAAAACTAAATTTGTTTAATGTATTTACAACGAATTAGCCGTTTTTGCGTAATGTCAATAATAGATTTATGCGGTAATCCGACTCCCATGAACGTCAGGTTGGACGGACTGAATAAACAAATGAATATCGCGAGATATGACGTCATGCGCGCAGGTCCCCTCCCTCATGTTGGAACTCAGAAGGTAAATAGACCTGGCAAACATTCCTCACAGGCGTCCAAGATGTCAACAATTGGCGCGAAAAATACCACCAGTAGTGTCAGTTTCTTGAGTGATGCTGCACCATTAAATTCTATTATTAAAGAGACGAGATATAGTGGTGCATTAGTTCACATCTGTCACTGAAGGGAGAGAGACAGATAATGGTGGTATTGATTCCTGAGTAATTAATGTTTTAGAGAATTTTATGTAGCGTTATATATATAGGCATTATGATCGTCAGTGTCGTGGGGTCGTTTTCTTTTGGCTAACATGACAAGTATTGCCTTTAATTTACTAATGCATTTTTACACGAGTGACCCCTAATTTCTTCTCCGTTTTCTTATTTTCTATTCTACAAACACATAAATAAATACAGTTTAGTTCAGTACTCATAAAATACATCGAGTACACCGTTAAATTATATAGTACTCACTTGTACTCATCCAATAACTTGTATTTCCTGGTTTAGAGTCCATAGTACTCAACTGTGTTCGTTTCTGCGTTTGTGTTTAGTGATTATTGGACTAAAACTGTACTAAAGATTACTTGTTATGTGAGATTTGTTTTTGTCTGTTTGTTTGTTTGTTGTTTAATGGTTTATTGTTGTTGTTAAGTGCATGACTGTGTTCTGCATCTTGTTGTGTTCTCACCTGCATGAACAAAGACCCAGTGTGTGTGTGACCTGATCTAAGTCCTGTGTAAAGTGTGTTCTAATATTCAGCACACACTCGCCCCTCCAGCAGGACACACGTAAACACCAAGATAAGTGAATTTAGGAGACTTGAATCTTTATCTAAATATGTTCGTCCCTTTTAGACGCTCATTTATTCACTCAGATTTGTTTATAGATGGACGTCAGAGTTGATGTTTCTGAACGCTTATATTTGGCTTATTTATAGAGGAGGTTTACACGTGTCTTGTTGCTTTTGGTGAGACTCAACACAGCCTCGGAGGGGAGTCTCTGATCTCATTCTCGTTTAATGTTCTTCTCTTCTACGTGAGACAGACGGGGCACCGTTACTGTCTCTCTCTCTCTCTCTCTGTCTGTCGTGTGTGAGACGGGGCGTCGTGCACGTTCACTTGGTCCCCTGCTGCTGTGTCTCCTTCGTGTCTCTCTGCACTGTGTCTCGGTGTGGCGTGAGGCAGTACAGTCAGTCACTAATGTCATCTCTCTGTGTTACAGCTCAACCCGCAACACACAGTTCCTACCGTCAGCGACCAGGGGCTGGTGCTCTGGGAGAGGTACGTACCTTCACTACCATCTCCACCATTTAGTCATCCATCTTGGCTGCTCTACCGTCCTGTCCCAAAGTGCTGTCCACTCTACCCCTGACAGCTGCTCTGCTTACTACCTCTTTAGGACATCTAAGTGTCGGGACACACACGACTTAACAGCTAATAAATGTTTTGTCCACTGTTCCTAGGCTCTGCGCCCGTCACTAGAGGGACGTTAGCAGCAACAGATCACATCACCGGCTGCGTCGACCAGCCAACCTATTCTATGGTTCCCTCTGTGTCTTAACTTTTGTGTGTGTTTTTTTTTTAATTCCGTCTTTCACTCGTCGTCACTGTAAAGCCATCTGTCTGGTCAGTGTCTAACTCGTTTTGTCTGTGTTCTGTGTACAGATGAACCCCCAGCACACTGTACCAACCTTCAACGACCACAGTTTCATTCTCTGGGAGAGGTTAGTGGAAGGTTCCTCAAGAGGCGTATTCTTACCAACCGTTTTTAGGAGTCGATGAGTGAAGAATCCACAAGTGACGCCAGACTCTTGTAACTGTGTACAGTTTGTTGGTGTTCCTGAGACTGTGTTGGGAAGGTGTTGGGTCTGTGATGTGTCGTCTCCGAGGCGTCATATCCAGACTGATCATGTGGATTCTTGACTACATCTTAAGACTCTTCTAAAAACGATTTAACAATACGGCCCCGTTTGTTGCCAGCACGACTCACTAGTGTGCACGTGTGAAGTCTTTAGCATCACCTCTCTCTCTCTCTCTCTCTCTCTCTCTCTCTCTCTCTCTCTCTCTCTCTCTCTCTCTCTCTCTCTCTCAACCCACCAAAGATTTGCACATACGGGTTCTTGGCTGGACAAAGCATGTTACTGGACACTGTGTTTGTGATCTATACCTTTGTGTGTTGCCTCAGTCTTGTGTTTGTAACCAGTGTAGCATATATAGCATCTTTATTAGTGTTTACCTTTATATATATTTCTCACTACAGGTTAAGGTTTAAGTAAGAAGTTAATATGGGTGTAAATTGTGCATGTTTTTTTATACTGCACATTTTTATTTTGGTATTTGATTTACAATTCTTTCGTCTATTGAGGAATTGTAACTGTCCCAAGAGTTAATGTTTTGTAAAGTTGAGTACAGTTTTAGAGTATAATGAGACGTACAAATTTTAATATTTTTTGTTTTTTTTTACTCACTGCAAGATCAATATGTCTGATGATTCGCCTCACACTATAGAGCTTAAATTTCCACCAAACTTGAAGGGTTAAATTAGTCATTGTTTATTTTACTACTTTGTATAAAATTTACAGCAGTTATTTGTAATCAGTGTTTGGAAAGATACGGGCATAATGAGTTAAACATGACGTCTATACACACGCCATACCTTATCAGCTGACTGGTGTATACACAGACCTCTGCCAGCTGACTGGTGTATACAAACATATCTCTCACTCGGACACGTTTTCAGTGATTATGTATCGTTATAAATGTAATACTGAAGGTAAGTAATTATAGAATGATATCAATATTATGTGCATTTGATCTCAACATTTTTATCGTATATTTGATGTATTGTGCATTATTTTTTTTCACAGAACGATTGTATATTCAAGGATTGTAAGTGTATGGCCGTTATATATATATACATTTACACTGTGATTAACATAAAAAAATAATGTCATGAAGAAAAATGTTTAACGCATCAAGGGATTCGCGTATTATACACAAGGATGGCTCGGTGTGGTGTATAGAACATTTACATTAGTTAGTGGTAGCAATGAATACGTTTTCTTTGATAACGCGCTTAGAGAGAATAAGATTTTTGTACATATAACTCGCCTAATTTAATAGCGGATGGAATTACCTGTATCTTCCCTTATACGTGGTGTTGATAACCTGATATACAATGTTCCTATCTCTTTATCCACTCTTTTTGACCTTATAATCACGAGAAATTATTTATTATTACAATTTAAACTTAGAATTAGATGTTAAATTCGTATAGGAAGAACAATGGTTAAGAAAGTAATATAATTAGTGTTCGTTACATTTACCCATTATTTAATTTTCTCTAAGTTATAGCCATTATAAAAAACTGAAAATAACTTAAGAGAACACAAGAACAACGCCCTCTGTCCCCTCACACTACCCTAGTGGCTGCGTGAGTTATTTTAGTGATTGTTATTTCTTATTGGGTTGTGTTATTGTTGTTGAGTTGTGTTATTTGTTGTTATTGCATTAAGAGATTGTGTAATTGATGTTGTATACTTTTGAATTTAGGCGGTAAGATTCAGTATTAGTTTGTTATGTGTGTTTGATTCGAGGCGTTGATCGTAGTTTGTTTATATATGCTTTAAGGCGTTCATATCTACCTGAATAAAACCAATGATACCCAATTGTTTTTAAACGAGACACGGTGTAATGGGACCTACCCTAAAAAAAAAACCTCCCCCCCCCCACCCTCCAATCCTATTAGGGTCCCAACCTAATCCAGATGGCTTCTAATCCTAATGGCTTTGATAAGTTAGTGAAAAGTCAATTTGGGGCAATAGGACTTGGCCCCTAAAGTGATTTAGTACCAGATGGAAATATATCATAATATCCCCTGCGTTTTCTCTTCAGTCGTTTTCTATGATGAGTCTAGACGCTGTATCTCACCTCAGGAATTTCACCGTCTTGTTCAACTTCAAAAGGTCTGGTATGCATGAAGGCTGAACCATATCACATCCAAGGCTTTATAACATTTTAAATATTATACCGTAATTATTGTAGAGTAATGTATTATGTATACATGAATGAATATAATGAATAATAGGAAGCGTTTACTTTGTGGTTATTTGAGGCGTTGAAAATCCGTAATGTGATATTTGTGAATAATGAATGACTTCTCAGAGTAATTTTCAACACCTGATGTATATTAACTTATATATTTCGGTTGTTTAATTCAATCTAACGAGTTTCTAAGACACTTAACCATAGATTAAACATTCACCATGGCTGGAATGTACTCAAGTGTGTATGAGAAGGGACTTTACCACCTTTACAAAGTATCACACACACTTGTAATAATAATATAAAAAAAAACCTTCTTGCCGTGTATATGATAGTTAGAAAAGCAGTCAGTAATCCTCTTCCACCGCATACCTTCCCGAACGATCTATAATAACATTGTTTCAGATAATTTCAATATGTTCGTATCCCCTATAAAAAAAACTATAGCATTACTTTCTTCTTTATTCCTCGTATTGTAACTATTTCTCACATATTGAATTGTAATAAAAAAGTAAAAATAGATAGAGAGAGAGAGAGAGAGAGGAAGTGAGCGAAATCTTCTTGAGTGTGATTAAAGAGAAAAGAAATGAAATAGATGGAAAAAAAAATACTTCAGCCTGGAACGACTTGTGGGGTTATAGGCGGCGTGGCGGCGTCGGGTATTAGGACCAGTTGCCAGTGTTGTATTTTCGGGGGCTGGAATTTTTTGTACATTTTCTTCATGAATGACTATTAGTTCTCAATATCCCCCCCCCTAAAAAAATAGTCCTTTCACACCATCAGCATAGTCCCCAGTAACCAAGATAGCCTCCAAACAGCTTTCAGTCCCCTAGAACAGATATCCAGGCTTCTAAATCAGCCCTTTAACTTATATTAGTCATCTAAACTCATAAATCAGCCCCTAGACACCTAAATCAGCCACCAGACTCTTAGATCAGACACCTAAACCCCTAAATGAGCCCCAAGGCCCCTAAATTAATTTCTTAGACTCCTGATTCAGCCCCTAGAAGCCTAAATCAGTCCCTAGACGTCAAAACCAGACTTTAGACACCTGAATCAGCTCCTAGACTCTTTAATCAGAAACAAGACCCTTTAATCAGCCTCCTAGACCCTTTAATAAGCCCTCTAGAGGAGAAGGAACTCGTCTAGGCAGCTATTTAGAATTCCGGGAGTGGCGAAATGGCAGCTTGTTCCATCCACACACACCAATACCTCATCCCTCTACTGCATCCTGGAGCACTGACCCCCCCCCCCTCTCTCCCTCCTTGAATGGTAGGTAGGTTAAGGGAGACGCTCTGGTACTTACCTACACTCTTACCTATCTTCCTCACTCCCTCATCCACTCCCTCTTCACCCTCCCTTCTTTTTTAATCCCTCACTTATACATTTTCCTTCCTTCCTTCCTTCCTTTTCTCTTTCCTTCCTTCCTTCCTTCCTTCCTTCCTTCCTTCTTCCTTCCTTCCTTCCTTCCTTCCTTTACTCTCTTCCCCTCTCTTCATTAGGACTGAATTCTAGCCCTAATTGGTCCCTATCTTAATGGACCCTAGTTCTAATAGATCCCAGGTTTAATAGGCCCCAATCTAACTTAACCATTACGACTTGGGGTCTATCCTATTAGATCTGGGGCTTTTTAGAACTAGGACCTATTAGAACACTACCACAGAGAACCGCTACTATAACCTGGCGAACGTTAGCCTGGCGTAATTTCCATAAGTGTAACATCCTATACTGAGGGGAAACGCCAGGCTTTACTTACTGCTCGTTCTGGCGTTGAGAATATCATGTGAGAGATGCATCTTTGAAGTCTTTGTTATAGTTTGATCTCAGGGTGACGTCGGTGAGTTGGGAGGTGTTTAGATATTTCCCATAGTCTTGAGGTTGTCTGGGAAATATCTCCTATCTTTCTATCTCCCGTTCAGAAATAAGTATATGCTATAGTAATAACTGGGAAGTCAAAGAAAACATCCCTATATGGAATACAAATATAGCACAGTCTACCCTTAACCCATCCAAGAGTCTTCATTTTCTATGGCCCCGGGTTGGACGACACACACACACACACACACACACACCAGCATATTAACCCCCCTGCTTTCTTTGCTTTCTCTTAGTGGAGTCCTTCCTCCCTCCGACCCTCCAACCATCCCTCCCTCCGACCCTCCAACCATCCCTCCCTCCCTCCGACCCTCTCTCCATTCCCCCTTTCAACCCTCCATCCTTACCACGTCTCACACTTTGTTACTTCCCCTCGCCACTTCTCTCGTTCATTCCAGCCCTCCCCTTCTCCTCCTCCCTCCTCCCTCCCCTCCTCCCTACCCCTCCCTCGATTCATCCAACCCTCCCTTCCTATATCCTCCTCTCCTCCTCCTCCCTCCCCCTCCTCCATCCCTCCCTCCTCCCTCCCTCCCTCCCTCCTCCTCCCTCCCTCCCCCCTCCCTCCTATCCCTCCCCTCCCTTCCCCCCCCTTTCCTTATCCTGTTACTGCTTATATACTCGTATTTTCTCTCTTCCTTCCTTTCTCCCTCCCCTCTTCCCCCTGCCTCATTCCCCTGCCTCTTCTCCCCTCCCTCCCTCCCTTCGCCCCCTGCCTCTTCCCCTCCTCTTTCCTCCCTTCCTTCCTGCCTCTTCCTCCCTCCTCACCACAGTAGACAATATGCCATTAAGTTTTGAATTGAATTGA